AAAGGAACAGTGATAAAGGGAAAACGAAGATGTCAGACGGACACAATTACGTCCAACCAGTATCGATGAATCCGAATAATGCAGACAGCCAAATATTCGTTTTTCAGGTGAAACCTATTCATTCAGTAGATAGCAAAATTGTCCATATTGATGACATACCAGTCGGAATATTAATAGATTCTGGAGCAGACATCAACCTTATTGATGGCAAAACATTTAAAGAAATACTTAAAGTACGGCCGAACTTAACACTAAAAGAAACAAATTGTAAACCAAAAGCCTATGGGAATATTCCAATACCACTAAGAGGAGAATTTTTCGCAACGCTGACAAATGGTCCCAGAAGAAAAGCCCACAAAGTATTCGTTACAAAGTCATATCAAGGTGGTAACATATTAAGTAAGTGGGCCAGCATTGAATTAGGGTTTATCACCACCCCATAGGTGAAATCGATTACAACAAAAAGTATCCCAAAATCAACAAAAGAAATTCTAGATCGGCACCTACCCTCGTTGGAAGGATTACGAAGAATGAAAAATTTCCAACTCAAAATTAGACTAGACGACAACGTTATACCTGTTGCACAACTGCCAAGACGGACACTATTTCATATCCAACAAGCAATAGAGGAAATCAATGAAATGCTAGAAAATGATATCATCGAAAGAGTGGAAGGACCCACTCCATGGGTCTCACCATTAGTAGCAGTACCGAAACCAAATGGAGAAATTAGAATATGTGTCAACTTACGCATGGCAAATAAGGCAGTGAAATGCACTCGCTATCAAATACCAACAGTTGAACAGTTACTGAGTGAAATTAGCAATGCAAACGTTTTCTCAAAAATTGACCTAAACTCTTATTATCACCAAATATAACTGGATCCTGAATCTAGGGACATCACTACCTTTTCATGCAAATCCGGAATCTACCGATATAAGGTACTGGTTATGGGCATTGCATCTGCAGCCGAAGAAGGGCAACGATTGCTTCAACAAATCCTTCAGAAAATCCCTAACTGCTGCAATGGGGCAGATGACATTCTAATCTGGGGCAAAGACACAAGAGAACATAACAGAACCCTAGATATGGTATTAGGTACATTGAAAGAAAACAACCTCACAATTGCAGAGCACAAAAGCATATTCCATAGTGAAGAAATCAAATTCCATGGTTTTATAGTGTCCAATACAGGGTTCAGACCAACTGACTCGAAAATAAAAGCAATCAGAAATTTCAAAAACCCTAAAAACATCCAGGATATATGTAGTTTCTTAGGTCTAATCAATTACCTCGCAAAGTTTATTCCACAACTGGCAACACTCAGCGAACCATTAAAAAAGTTAACGCAAGCAAACATGGAATGGTGGTGGACGGAGGAAGAAGAATCTTGTTTTCTAATGCTGAAGAATGCAGTCATTCAGAGCAAACCGCTCTGCACTTTGATCCAAAACTGCAAACATCTGTTATAGTAGATGCCAGTCCCTTGGGACTAGGAACAATACTTTGCCAAAACAAACAAGGGATACTCATCCCCATCAGCTATGCATTCAGGACTCTAACTGAAGGTGAACGCAGGTACTGTCAATTAGAAAAAGAAGCCCTAGCAATTGTATGGGCTTGTGAAAAATTCCACTTTTACCTTTATGGAAAGAACTTTCTTATAATGACCGACCATCAAGCATTAACAACTATCTTCAATCCTAAAGGATTATATCTACAACCATATGATTATACAATGAAACACATTAACGGTAAAGATAACCTGTCGGACATACTCTCTCGGCAACCTATGGAGTATCAAAAAGTAGTCTCACCCAAAGAAGAGATTGCCAAAGGATTTATCAACACGGTTGTAGCTAACAGCATTTCAAAATCAATCACCTTATCGGAAATAATGGAGGAATCTCAGTGGGATCCAACCGTCACAGCAGTGAAAAAGGCAATACAACAAAACGACTGGACGTCTCTTCACGACAAAATGTCTCTTCACGCTTGTTAACAGAACCCTTTAAACACATGAGGAATGAACTGACAACAAAATGAAGCATAGTCATACGCGGAGCCAGAATTATCATACCCCAAAACCTAGAGAAACGAATCCTGAAATTGGCGCATGAGACACATATGGGGATAATGAAAACAAAAGCTCTGCTCAGAACTAAGGTATGGTGGCCCAATATAGACAAAGACATAGAGGCTGCCATAAGCCGATGTTTCCCGTGTACAACATTAGACCCAAAGGGAAACCACCATCTGGTGCATATGGCCGAAATTAAAGGTCCTTGGGAAATACTCCACGTAGACATCTGTGGGTCTTTCCCTCGCGGGGATTATGTAATCGGAATAATCGATGCAGGATCAAGATGGCCTGAGGCATTTGTTACCAAATCCACCAGGGCTGATACAATCATATCGACAATCCAAAGGTGTTTCTATACACATGGCATTCCAGTGATTATCATTTCAGATAATGAACCCCAGTTCATATCTTCGGAGTTTAAGCATTTCTGCAAAGAATGGGGTATCCAACTGTGGGAGATAACGCAACAACTCAACTGATGATAGCAGGTAGAAACAAAGAAAACTGGTGTCGTACGTCCAACCTTCTCACGAGCCGAAAGCTCTCTGATCTGAAACAGCAAAACGAGCCTGCTTTATACAGCCGAGGACCGACCATGATTTGCATGCGAATAACGAGACAACGAGATTTTGTGTTAACTAACCGAGACCGCCCGGCATAAAATATGGGCGCCGCCATTTTGGTTCCTTTTGCCGTTGAGAGGACCGGAGTTTGCACACTGCACAGATTCGCACGCGTTTCTGAAGTAAGCCATTTTCACAATTTTCCCCACACTCCCCCCTGATCTCATGATCACAAACAGGGCAAGGAGGTGGCGATTGTCGCCGTCAAGTCCCCCTCCGAAGGGGGACAACACAAGCTTCATCCTCATGCGTGTTCTCGTCTGTGGTTTGAGTGTCGGTAAACACTGTGTCCACCGGGAGGCTGCTGTTATCAGAATCACCGCCCTGCAGGTCTAACTCAAAGCAGATCGAACGCTCACTACTCTCAGACTCGGAATCGCTTTCATCGCTCAGTAATGGTAGTGATTGCATCACCGGTCGCACCCCGACGAGGCACCCCATCAACTCTCACAGATTGCGGGCTGATCACCTCCATAACACGTCCAGTGCCATATTTTGTCATACACTTGCCGCGTGGGTTTTTGACCCAAACAAAGTCTCCTTTTTTCAATCTCCCTCCAGTCACTTCTAGTTCAGGCAGCGGGTTGGCTTTGATACCTTTCACATGGACATGATATTTGTGCAGTGCATCAGCCAGCGCCGTGGATGGTGAAACGTTATCTTTCGGGGCAACATTATACCAGTAAACCGCCTCCGATACTGTACAGCCCTTCCTGGCTGTGATGGTCTTGATGGTTCTGTGGTTCCGCTCCACGATGCCATTTCCACTTGGCGAGTAGGCACATCGAAACCGCAGATGCACGTCCCAATTGTCCGCAAAGTCTTTACTGGTGAATGCAGTATCGTTGTCCGTCAGTATTTCCATGGGTGGGCCTCGCTCCAGGAAAACATTCTCCAACAGTCGAATGACGGTGCTCGCGTCTTGTCTGCGCAGCGGTCGCCATACTACCAAGGCAATTTTTGTCTCCCCCCCACTAAACTCCTCCCTATTTCACAAAGTGACAAAATCTTAGTAAGGACTTCTCGATTTCTAAGTCTATTAGTTTTTTCACTGTTTAAAATAACAGGGCTGTCCACACAAATATGTATACCGATAAAGATAACATTTATTTTAAACTCTGTCACATTTTTTTTAATCTGTTTAAAAATGACTACACACACGTTATCAGCCTGGGTTGGTCGTCCCAACATGTGATACATTTTGGAAAGTGCATGAAAAGCATACCGCGGGTTGAACCAAGCCTTATGAGTGAAATCAGGTCAACAGAATTGTTTGGATGCTGTCAATGTGATAGAATTTTTTTTTTCCACTTATATATGTGCATTTGTGTGTTTTAAATATCTTGAAAAGCAACAAAAATTTTATAAAGTTTAGCAAGAAGTGTGTTAGCTTAGTTTTAAAAGTTCAAACCTTTTTATGAAAATAATTTCCAGACTCTTTGGATTACTAATAAATACATTAAGAATTATGCATTAGAAGAAAAAAAAAAAAAAATTTTATTCACATTTTTTAGAAAAAAAGGAAGATGTCCAATGGCAACAAATCATTTTAAGTATTTTAATTCTGTAACTTTGTAACACTAACTTCCTTCAACAAGCAATCCTTTTTTTTTTTTCGTTTTGACAGTGTGTCTCACCATGATAAATGATGCTTCTGGATTCTGCTTTGCTTCCTCTTTCTGACATATGATTTCTGTTTTTTATGAAATAAACATTTAAGATTGAATAATTGTGGATTTAATTTATTAGTAGCCAGTCATTTATTGTTTGGATTTCATATGTAATTTATTAGATTTTAATGGCTAGCAGAAAAGTAAAAACACGAGAATTATGAAAGTAATTAAAAAAACACTATAGAGTGAAAGGACTGAAAAAGAATAATTTTATTTGTATAATGACAGAAAATGTCTCTTGTGTTGGCAGACAGGCGTTTGGGCGAAAGGAAGGAAGGAAGGAAATTGACATAGATACAGTCATAGATAGATTGATAGACATGAAGAAACTGACAGATACAAACGGACTGCAATGAATACACTGACATACAAAACATTTGAGCAACCCTCATAAATTAATTACCTTTGTTAAATTTTACCTCTGAAGTCAAGAGCAATTAACAGCATGCTTTTCTCAGTGATTTTTATGATCTTTCAGGGTTAGAAAACAAGTCACTGCATTTTTCATTAATGATGGATGATAGAGCATCTTAAGGATAGTGATGCTAAAAAGAGGCAAAAAATACTGGGCCACGAATGAAAATTGAACCTTTCGGCTCTTTTTCTTAAGTTAAAGTGCATACAGCCACATCATGTTGAAATACCTGTTCCTATATGATCACCGAAATTAAACAATGTCAAGCTTGGTCAGTAGATGGGTGACCACTTGGGAATACCAGGTGCCGTAAGCTTTGATGCACAGGTGGGGTAATGGATAATGTCTTGGAATTGTTAATCAGAGAGCACAGTTCCAATTCTCATTGGGGCTCTTATAAACACTTACATGCAAATAACCTTGGGAAAGGTATGCATCTACTTCTTCTCCCACCCCCAGCTATGGGTTAATTAGAAAAACTTGTATCATTAGACCATTATCTGAGCAAAAAATTCTTTCAATCCAAAAATATTTTCTGGCTTTAAATAACTTGCAAAGAGTTCATGAGCCATGAAAAAACAATTCAATAAAAAAAATTAAGTTAAAGAGGAATTCTTTATTTATATTTTTTTCATTTTGCAAAAAGTGATCTTTATCGTTCTTTTAATTTTCACTAATTTTGAAAATGACAAATTGTACAAATAGAAGATAAATGGTGAAGGAATTACCATTGTTAACTCTGTCATGACTTAGAATTCAGTTTTAACACCAAACCAAAATGCATTTAAGTTTGAAAGTTGAATCATACAAAATTTCAATGAGGAATGATTTTAAGATTCTATTGAACTGATTATTATTTAATTCCAGTAAGAAATATTCATGGAAACTGTTTTCTAAGAATACCAAAATAATTTTCAAATGAGTCATTCTCTATGTGATGTTTCTATATGTATCATTTTTCAATAATGCTCTAATTTTAGATTTCCGTTTAAAAATATTCATGTTTTCCCTTTAAGAAACACCAAGTTTGTTGCAGACATCTAACAAATATTTATTTTCTAAACGTAACTTGGATGTGATACAAGGCCGAATGTATGGGGCACCCAGTAAAGATGAACTCGCTATTATGCCGTAACTGTTTTAGCAAGACAAGCTTGCTAACCATGCCAACAAATAGCTTAATGTACATATCCAATTTATATTGTGAAAATATTAGACAAGATTAGAGTTCTTATCAGATAAATATATTTACTGTATTTTTCCGCATATAAGGTAACCGTTAAATCTTTAAATTTACCCTCCAAAATAGGAGGTCAACAGTTACAAAAAGCTAACATAAAAACCTGTGGTGTATCAACACTGCTAAATAGGCTAGTATGTTTGCACCATGAATCATAGTGGGCTAACAATTGCCTTGGTACAGTAACTACTGATATACATATTTCCAGTTGAAACAATTGATATTATGATGCTGTACTACAGTTATAAATATGATAAAACTACTTCTTGATTTTACATTAAAATGCAATATTCAAGAGATGATTACACAACAATTTGCAAAAGTTTTTCTGAGCAACATGCACAAGTAACATAAATCTTTCATTCTTTATTTGTAGCACTATGGGTGCGTTCACACCAATCATTTCTCAAAGAAGTATTAAATGACAACATTTCGGATAACATTTTATTAAAATTCATTATCATTGTTGTGTTAAATAATATTTAATATAACATGAAAACTTTATTTTTCAATAACATAAATTATACAGTATTTTTTGTAGTGTTAAGCAACAAAACATCTGAGATGCTATAAAATCTTTTCTCATTACAGAATATGCAGTTTTTGTTTTCATTTGTTCGAGTCATAACAATGAAATTGTTATTGCTATTTTCATAAAGATTCATGTTAATACTTTATATTAATATATTCCATTTGATTTTATAACAAATGTAAGCAAAATAATATTTGTAATAACATCAGCTTTACTTGTAGGAATTATTATGAGAGGCCTAACTGCTGTTTTCTGTATGTAGATTAGCCTATGTTTTTGGTTTTCTTATACTATGGATATCAGATAAAATCATGAAAATTTACCTCAATTTTGGGTTTCATCTTTTCTATAGGTTGCCTTATATGTGGAAATATACAATATATCTAGCAGAAATGTCTTGCTAAAACTGCTAGAAAAATGGTCAGCTCATGCTATCACTCCTGGAAGTATCTGCTTCCTTCTACCATGCTTTATCTTTACAAGAGTCAGATGGAGTCTTGTTGCTATATTTGGGCTAGAGATGCCCAATCTTCACTTTCCAGAACTTCACAGAGTTCAAAACACGATCTGGTGGAGGAAGATTTATTCTCAACTCTGCAGTTGCTTTCCCACAGAAACGACCTTGTAAGCTGATCACTTATCTGCCACTATTTACATAGGAAATGTGCAGACGATTTCCATCCTTTATTTCCACTAGTTCAGGCCTTTACAGCTTGGATACACCATGCTACTTCCACAGAGTCAAATCATCCTCATTTCCCCCCTCTATTCAAAATGTGAGAAGAAAGTTCCACTCAGACAGCTTTTTTCACAAGAACTGCTACTTTTTGGAACAGACTCCCTCATAGGTGCTTCCCTGAACACTATAATCTATACCTAAACCTCTTCAAGGATCAATTGTTATTGTCACAACTTGATAAGGGGGTCTGTACTAACAACAACACAGTTTCAGCTTAAACTTTGTCTGCCAAAGCAATAATCCAGCTCTTTTATTTGCACAAACAATATGGCTGACATGGTACATCCGTGTCTGAGCAATAGCTGAAAAGGTGCTTTTATTTCCTTAGTTCCCAGTTACAACATCCCTCCCCAATTAGTCAAAATTTAATTAAACAATGTTTCTTGTGAACCATTACTTACGTGGTAATGTCCATGAGCATTATCAGGGACAAGAATTGTTTCACTTCCTGTCATATTTACGTCCTCATCACCTTCCATATCTGAGTTTTCTGTCATCCTATCATCTGGTGATACCTTTTCAGCAAGTTCCCTCACTAAGAGTCAGGCACTACATCGCTTTCCTGTGGTGTCTAGTTTTATGTGGTTTCTTGGGGTCACTTTCACCCTTATGTCTCTCTGCTTCCATGCATTTCTGAAAACTTGTTCTGATGGACATTCTGGTTTTTTTTCCCTCAATTGATCTCTGTAGGGTACATGACACTGTGTGGGTGATGCTCAGTGTCCTTTCAAAGTATGTGACTGAGTTCTCCTTGGTTGATTAGTTCTTTCAGGGCATGTATCTGGTTCAGTTGGAATATTCATGTGAATATGATCCACATGTTTTTTCAATACACGCCTATCCTCCAAGTCAGTGGGCCAAATTGCTCCTCTAGAACTCCAGACATCCATTTTGGTGTTCTTGAAAGTTCATAACGTTAACAGTATCTTCCAAATAGAATCTTTTTTTTCCTGCTGCTTCCCATCCATCAACATTTTAGTATTGTCTATTTTACTGGTCACTTTGGTGGATAAGTCCAGGTACACATGGTCAAGCCAAGATCTGGGCTGTCGACCCATTAACAGTATGACTGGTGACTGACCACTTGTTGTTTGTGGAAAAAGACAGTAGCAAGCCAAGACACACAGTAGTCAAATTCTGTGATCACTGGGAACCTTTTTTTTAAAAACCCACTCTCGAAGGTTTGTATGCACATTCAACTAGTCCATTTGATGATGGGTGGTATGGCGAACATTGAACATGCTTAATGCCATTCAAGGTGCAGAATTTGGGAAATTCTTCACTAGTAAAACTGCTGGCATTGTCTGACATAATCACAAGGTCTCCCATGTGTGGCAAATGTGCACTACAACATCTGCAGAAATTGCTGATGTTGATGAAACAGCATTTGCATCTATATATTTACTGTGGGCATCCACTATCACAGGAATCCACTTACCATAATCTATATCCACTTGAAACCATGCACTTTCCGGGTGTAACCTGCTTGTCTGGGGCATATTAGCCTTATCCTGGCACATAACACAACTTCTTACACACTGTTCAATATCTGATTCCAAATTAGGCCACCAGATATGACAACAAGTAATAGACTTCATCTGTAACCTTCATATAATTTGTTAAGTAAGGTATCTCAACACTTTGTGGGGATAACCACTCCTGATCCCCATAAAACACAACCCAGTTGTACTGATAATTCTTCCTTCCTGTTTGTGTACAGTTGAAAATTCTGAGATTCATTGTACAGCCATCCCTGTATGATCCACTTACACACTTGAGATAACATGGGATCCCCGGATGTATGCAAAGCAACAGTTTTTGCCATGACAGGAGTTGAATCTAAATCTGTCATAGAGAGTACCAGTTCTCCAGACAATGTAGCAGTATAAAATAGTCTTCCACAGGTAGTTGACTTAGTCTGTCTTTATTGGGAATCTTTGAACAGGATTTGTATACAAGGTGATAGTGGTAGTTTGATACTACCACTACTCAAATCTGTACTCTAGCACTTACTGTGTGTAATATTGCATGGTCCTCTTTTAGAAACCCAAGCAAGGGCTTATGATCAGTAATGATTGTAACTTCCCGGCCGTAAATGTATTTATTTAATTTACTCACTTGAAAAATTACTCTTAGTCTTTCACATTTTATCCGTGCATAATTCTGTTCTGCTTTTGATAATATTCTTGAGGCAAAGTAAATTGATTTTTCCCTTCCAGCCGCTATAATATCTGACAAAATTGCTCCAATGCCAACTGTCGATGCATCCACAGTCATTATAAGTTTAAATTTAGGTTTCTAATGAACTAAAACATCAGCTGACATTAATAAATTTTTCTATTGTTCAAATGCGGATTTTTTGGCTATTCCCCATTTCCAGGGTGCTCCTTTTCATAATAATGCATACAGTGAAGCTAGAAAAGTGCTGATGCTATTTAAATACCAGCAGTAATAATTAGAAAAAGCTAAATAACTGTAGTTCCAATATATTTTTTGATGTTGGTGCTCTTTAAATAGCATTAATCTTATCCTGGGTTGGGTGAATTCCTTTGGAATCAATCCTGTGACCCAGATAAACTATTGACGATTTCCTGAAATTGCATTTCTCACTTCTAAGGTGGAAGCCCACATCTCGTAGTCTTCTTAACGTTAAACACAGATTTTGGTTATGTTCTTCCATATTTTTGCCTTAGATTAAAATGTTGTTGATATAAGCAGCAGTCATTGGTATATCTTGAATTAACTGGTCAATAGTGCGTTGAAAAATTCCTGGTGAAGAGGCAATTCCAAAACACAATCTAGT